TGTTTTGTTTGTTTTTTTACATGTAGTTTGCAAACTCTGGTTTCACAGCTGCGTTTCCGGAACAGAAGGCTAATGCTAACATACCCACACACAAACATGTAAAGCAGGACACTCGTGCTCTCGCTTCGGTTTACTCGGCCTCTGTGTTGTGTGTAAAGTCAAAAGTAAACTCCAAATTGTCCAAAAGTCAGACAGGCGCGGTGAGTCATGTTTGGGCTTGGTCGCTTCAGTTGATCTTAACGCCGATGTTTGGGCTGACTGGCTCATTCCAACGCTCGATCAATTATCCTGTTGTGTGAACAGCTTAAAGTCTAGAGATTTGGCCCATCAATAACTCCAGACTTGTCGGAGCCCAACGAGAGCTTTTCACATGTGTTTGATTTCGTTGGTCCAGTCTGGTGCAAAACTGGCCAAGTTTAGAGCCTGACATTGATTCTGGCAACAGTCGAGTTCAGCTCTTGTTGATTTTAGCAGCAACTTTCACAAATATAACGCAGTGTTTTGAAAAGGAAAACATTGCATTTAATCCATTCGCCTGTGTTTTGGTGTGACGGAGCACATTTCAGTTGATCCTAATTATTAAACTACACGACAATTATTAATTAGGTTGAAGAAATGTCGTAAAAAGTTGTTCATCTATATTATCTTGTAATAACGGAATTGAAACTAATGGTTTGTAAAGAACGGGGGCTGTCGGATATTCTGAAAGCTTAAAATTTAAAAATAGACTTTTTTTTTTTAAGTTTTACATCCAAATGGAGGCATTTTAACCGCTAATATCAGAACTTAAAGTATTTGAATTTTACTGCTTTTGTGTTTAGTGTGAACTGGCTTTAAATTGTTAAAGGATCTGTAGCATCTTATTTTTTATAAATCATATTTTGACTTTGGCTCACTCACATTAAGACATATTTGCTCACTAGAGGAGATATAAGCATTTTTCTGTTGTTTTGCCACTTTTTTTTAAATTAATGTCAGTAGAAACAACTTCAAATGAGCTTTTAAAACTGTCAGCGTTCTTCCTGTAGTGGACGTGGCCTCTGTCGAGCCAGCTGGTGACTCAGGTTGTGCAGAATATTCCTGTACAGTGAATCCTAGTTGAGGTCGAACTCGGTGCCAACTGCTCTCATCCCAAAACTGGACCCAAGCGAAGACAGAAGGCCTCAGTGCTCGACACAGAATGTCAGACAAGTGCCGCTTTATGTTTGTGTGTTTTTAGCTTGAGAGCAGAACGAAGGAGAGCATTCACCTCAAGAAACTCCCGCTCAATCAGAGTTTCTGCCTTTTTCTGCTCCCTCACACTCAAACTTCCAGCTCCCTGTGTTGTCGTTCAGAAACACAACTTGGTGGCTGAACTGTAGCCAGCTTCAGGAAATGAGTCAAAACACAATGTTTCATGGGCACAAGGAAAAAGAGGTGGTTGTTTTTGGAAAGCTTAGATGAATTCAGAACAAACTGCCTCTGGACTCATGTTTATCTTCTTTTTTGTTTTTTGTTTTTTTTTGGGGGGGGGGGCAGCACAATGGATTTGGAAAGACAGATGTAAGAGTGCAGATAGGTTCATTTTGATAAAGACTACATTCAGATTTGATAGTTCTCCAAATCTCACTCGCGCTGAGGTTAGTAAACTACTCCAGTCCACACTGCTTTCATTGCAGGTTTAGGCTCACTTGTAATTAGGCTAATTGCAACATTAAATATAACACAACAATGCTCTGCTAACAGGAAATGCACCGGTCGCATCTATACTGGGCACCAGTATCGACCTCTTTCAGTGGATCTGATGTCGGCCAGGATGTTCCCAATCGACATTTAATACTGTCACTTCATTACTGTCAACGTAAACTGTCTCCACTATCAATAAATTCAGCGACAGCAGCACCTGGCTTCTTGTTACCTTACTTAAAATGTACTCCTATGAGTTCTATACAGTTTTTTTTTTTTTTTTGTTTTTACAGATTTTAAATTTTAGAAAAAGAGCATTTAGTGTAAGAAACGACTAAACTGGATTGATGCATCATATCAAATGCAACATGAACAAAGTTTGTTTTGAGCAGCACAGCAGGTGTATTGGACGGTAAATTGGGTGTAAATGAATCAGTCATGACCTCAGTGTCACGATGAAGCTGTACAAAATGAACAGTTTGTCTCTACCGGGAGATTCTTTTTAGAAATGATCGTAGGTTTGAAACAAAATCCATCCCAAATCAAATTCATCATTCAGCTACTTCAAACATGGTTTTCAACACCGTTCTAGCTGTTCTGTTTACATGTTCTCTGCTTTGCTGTGCTTTCCAGCAACAGCTCACAATGACATGAACCTGCTCTTTCATTATCACGGTGCTGGTTTTATTTTTGTGGAATTGAAAGCTCACCGACGCGTAGCTCCGTAACATTTTCCTCTTCAGCCACACCAGAGGCAACAGCTGTCAGACTGTTGTTTTTCTCTGAAAGACCCTATCAGTATTTTGACAGATGTGTTGTTCTCTCACCACGACACTGTGGACTCTGGACCCTCACTGTTCACCAAGTCAGGAAGGCTTCAGGCCTCCAGTTAGATCACTGCTACGCTTCAGATGAGATCAGACCGTAATCATACAGCGACTGTAAGAGAAACTCATCGTACGAGAGTCATGAGCAGGACACAAGTGGTCGATAATAAATTAATCAGAGCTGTGTTTAAAATTTGTTTCATTTTTTAGAAACTTTGGGATTGGATTTGGGAGATCACCAGATCGTGTGTTCCACAGGCAGCGAACGAAACTAAAGCTAAATGCTGTTTCTAAAGCTTCTCATAGGGGGAGTGGAGAAAGTTAATAAAACGTCACTTTCACAGAAGTTTTTATGCTCACTTGAGGTTTAATTTGCATACCGGGAGATAGAAACACCTTTTTCGAATGAGCTCTGACATGATGACTTCAACTCACATCACTTGTCAGCTGTTTCTTTTCTTGCCTTCATCTCCAGACAGCTTTAAGCGCGGTCGATACCGGCTGAGAACAGAATAAACACAGCTTTCCTGATGGCTGCAGACTCAGATTTTTCTCTCTTGATGGACAGAGTTTTGTGTTCTGTATCGACTGGCAAACTGTTTGTTTTCAGCTTCTTTTCTTTCTTTTTTTTTTTTGTTTTTGAACAGCCAGATGTTTATACGTACACTGACACCTTCTCATGACGCTACGTAGCCGAGATCTTTTGCTTCAGAGCAGTGAATAGAAACAAGCCTAATTCACGTTATTCACATTTTGTTATTTTGCAACACCTAAAAAGTTTACTTTACAGTTACGTGGAACCGCTGCTATTGTCTTACAGCCAGCGCAGCGTAATGTCAGGTATCTGTTTGGCTCGTATGAAACAAGCTAATTGGACCTATAGCTTGGTGCTGAACAGCCAAAGTATGAAATCCTTTCCTGAACCAGCTTATTTAAATTCAGGGTCGGAGGAAAGCTGAAACATTTCCCAGCATGCACTGGGCAACAGACAGGGAGACCAGGAGTGTGAGGACGCATGGCTGATGTTTTTTCTTTATCACAGATGAACATCGAAACCAGGTTAAAGTCTCTGGTCATGAATTAAACCCCCAAAACTCTGCAGATTTCTCCATGAAAATACTCCCATCCTGCTCAGAACTACCTGCATGTAGCCCTATGCTGTCTCTTTTTTTTTCACCAAGTTCTTGCCTCGTTCTACACTCATTCCTTCACGGTTTGCTGCAGCTCAAGCACATCAGCTCACCCACAACTCTGCTCCAACACTGTAAAACTACTCCACAGTACATGATGACAAGTTGTATTGTCAGAGTGACTCAGGCAGACGTGTTCAAACTGGAAACCGATTCTGAAGAGTACTGATACAGAAAGCTTGTTTAGTCTAGACGCTTCTCGCTGGAAGTTTCACAGGAAAGTAAATGTGCATCTGGTTTGTCTTGTTTGATAGTTTAGCACAGATCAAGACTGCAGCGTTGACACTTAATCGTGTGGTTGTTTTCTCATGACTCATTCAGATACAAAATATTTAAAGTCCTTTTCTGGCCACTGATCAAACTCCAAGTGAAATTTTTTTTAAATCACAAAAATAGTGCCTTTCTCCTTTAAAATGTCTCTCAGATTTAACCCTACAGTGATGTTTCTTCTAGAACGTGCACATGTATGAAGAACACTAAAAACCTCACAAAGACAAGTTGTAATAATGGAGTCATTTAGTCAGATATGTTTACACCACAGACATGATTCTGCAGAAAAATAGTGACACAGAAAGTCCCAACACGTAAGTTGACAGGGTTGGATCCTGAAGTTTTTTTTCCGTATAAAACCCCAGAAAGTCAGAATTTTTGTGTTCTATTTAAGAATCTTATCTTTCATGACTGTTTGTTTTGCTCCCGATGTGTCTTCTAGCATCTAAAAACCACCACATGAACATGTTAACGGGGTCTTTCCTGACGTCTTTCCTTCTCTGCTGTCCCTCTGCAGACGGTGCCGACCGCACATCAACGATATGAAACGAGGATCTGGGTGAGAGCAGCAGGACAGCGCCGGTTCACGAGGCTCTCCCACGATAAGTCACCTCGAGGTCACCAGCCCTCCCGTCCCCTCTCCCTGTAGCCGATGGTAGAGCTCAACCAAAGGACCGGGCGGGATCCAAGACACACCAGAGGGCCGATCACCAAACGGCTAACACAAGCTAACACATTGGCACCGTCCATCGGGTTGGAAAAACACACCTCCTGCTCCGCCAGCATGCTCACGGTCACCTGGGCGAGGGGAGCAAAAAATGAAAAAGCCTGGACAGCGTGCGAAACAGCGCTCCCCCCTCCGAGGAGGCCGGAAGCAGCGCTGCAACCGAAGGGAGACGCTGGCCGGTGGATCAGGGCTCAGTGAGGCTGAGGCCCCCCTCACTCTCCGACACCGTCTGGTCCCCGCACATTGACCACAGCTCGTGGCATCCTTCAAACCCATAACAGTACCTCAGACCCCAAAACGAGACGAGACAAGCAGAGCCACGAGGATGCACAAGGAACGTTTGGGATTTCCTGGACTGCGAGGACTGAGTGAGAGGACTGAGTGTCCAGGAGGACGCTTGTAGAGCTCAGTATTGGGTGGCAAAACAAACATTTATTTGTATTGTGTGTATTTATTGTTTACATTATGATGCTACTTTCAGAGGGTACAGAAACATGTTTGAATTTCAGGTATGACTTGTGTGATTTTTCTGTAAAGCAACGTGGCTGTCTACAAGCTTTACGCCCCCACGAGTAGCCATCACACTAGTTTACAACTAACGTGCTTATTCTTTATTTTGGTGTGCGCCCCGAACGTTTATCGAGACAAAGAGTGCGAGAGGTTAGAGCAGATAGACGAGGACGTGGAGAAAGACTCGGAAAGTGGTAGAAGGAAGAACGGAGCTGAGGTGATATCGGGAAAGGGAAGCGGATGTTTGAATGAGAAAGACATCAGAGGCAGGACCTTTGATGGGCCGAAGATGACGGAGGGAGGTGATGTCATGTCTAATCGCAGTGGAGGAAGTGAATTTGGCACCGCTCGGTCACACATTGTTCATCCACAGCATGTACTGTATGGACTCTTTGAATTCAGAGCCTTCACGGGCGCAGAAAATGTTTTTTTTTATATAATGGGAGATTAATAGTGGGATCTGTCTGCATGTTCAGATACTGGGTTTTCTAAAGCAGGGTGATACGCTAACGGCTGCATGTTACAACTAGATATCTGTCTTGGAGAGGAGGAAGATTGTGGAGTGGAGACGATGGCAGGAGAAGCAGGAGGTGGATTTGGTTTCCACTCAGACCGTGTTGCAACATTGGAAAAAAAACACACACACACTGTCAATCCATGAAGGGTAGTTTTCCCAGAGATTGTCTCTTTAGCGCTTACCTCCACCTGCTGGCCGAACGCAGTCATGGCAGGACAGATGCTGAAGTCCTCGGAGACTCAGGCAGGCACAGAAATGACTTGAGGAAACATCAGAGCTGCAGCAGCTTGGTTTCCCTCACAGGCTGTCTGTGTATCTCGTTCTTCAGTCTGTTCTGTCAGCGCCGGCCTACATGGAATTTATTTTCTTTGTTTTTCATTCTGAATCTCATGGTTATTCTGTGTCTTAATATTTATCCTCCGTTTTTTTTGGGACTTTATAAGAGTAGGTTTATATTGAAATAAGCTGGTTAGTTACTCCCCGCTGTGCCGCGCTCGACCGAGCATGCGAGTCTGAACGGACGTCGTTGAGGATTATCGATTATTATTGTTGTTTAGTTTCTTCATTAGTTTTTTTTTTGCAATTTCTGTAGTTCTTCCTTTGTATCCTGCACTTGATATGATAATGTGATACACTAAAAAAATCCAAACGTTGGAGGCTCGAGCTGCAGCTGAGGAGGTCGACACTCGCTCTGTAGAGCTGCAGACTCCACAGCAGAGACGAAGGCGTGATTTCTGTTTGTCTGGAGGCGGATGTCGGCGTAGCAAACGGTCTCTTGTACGTCGGCTGAGTCCTTTCACACGGTTAAAGGACGATAACGGTGTTTGTGCATGTCTTACTTCATTTACTTTGAGTTACACATGCTTGACATTGCTGTTGTTTTGATGTTTTTACAACCTTCCAGGCAAACACGAGTTCCCTTTTTTACGATGGCCTTAACTTCTTTAGTCCAAACACTTCAAAGTTAATGCATCACAGAAGAGTAAATCTAGTTTGTCTCGTTTGTTTGACAGTGCAGATCAGAGCTGTTATTGATTAATCTGCCAACTATTCCTTCAGTGATTTAAAATTTAAATTTATTAAAGTCCTCTTCAGCCGCTGAGCCTAAAATCTGACCTCCACGTAGCTCGAGCACACCAGCTCACCTACAACTGCTTTACACAATGACGAGTTGTAATATTGAGTAATTCAGCCAAAGATGTTTGAAGAATAACAGCAGACTGGCCGGTTTGGTTCTTCAGGTTAGTTCTGTTTGAAACCTTGGAAGTCTGAATCTGTGATTTTGAGACTAGCATCAGTTCACTGCAGTTTGAAGGTGGAAGTGCTCAGCCATGGCATAGAAGAACATCATATGTATAAGTTATATGAGGTAAATAATAATGATAATTGACCTCATACCTCACCAGAGGGGGTCTTTAAAGGCATTTATAATTTTTCAGAGCTTAATGTGACTTCCTCAATGTCCCCGTTTTATCCAAACATTCACAGTTTTTCTTGCAAATATCACAAAGAAAAGCAAACGTTTCAGTTCACTGGCTGTCAGAATAGTTGCAGATTAATTGATTGAACTCATCGACTGGTTGCTCCAGCTTTGGTCAACCAGAGAAATCACTGCACAGTCTGGACAAAACATGTTACAGAAATCTAAAACACTACAGAACTCTTGACAAAGAGGCAGCAGAGATGTGTGTGACTCGCATTAAAGGAACAAAAACATGCAGAAATCCTGTTACGGTCCCTCATTCTGGCTCTGAGAAGCCTTTCTGGAGAACAAACCGCCGTCTTCGTCGGCTTAAAGCGGCTTCAGATCCGGAGATGGCGGCTCGAATTTTTGGCTGCAGACAAAGTGTGCGTCTGTAGTTTTACAGCAGCGACTACATGAACACTGTCGCCTCTGTGTTTTGAGTTTGTGTCTTTGAGAGCCAGTCAGACGTCACCTGCACGTTTGTGAATTCCACCAAAGCATGAATGTGACGTGAACCCTGTTAATCCCGAGTGGTTAAACTGATGTTACACCTTCGACAGACTTGTGTTTTTGTTGTTTTTGCTGATGCTCGTCGCTGACGAAGCATCAGGATCTCATCATATTCAGACTCTTTCAGTGTCACTGCCATATGAATCAGTACTTAAAGTAGACGCAATTATTTATTCTGTTTTTTTCATAATTTTTGCAGAGGTGATACTGATCATTTAGGTGTATTATTATTTAAAGTACCATATGTATTAACATGTTATGGCTGGTGACCATACGTACATCTCAAATATTAACATAGTTATTGTTGACTGACTGTTTTTCTTGTATTTTTTTTTTGTTGTTGTTGTTTTTGTTGTTGCTGTTGTTGTTGAACTATAATCTCGTTTGTATCTATCGGTGTCATGTTGAGATTTTTCTCATTTGGACTGTCGGAGAGCAGATCCGTCACAGATTCATGTTCGGTTACAAAAGTCACGTCGGGCGTCACGTCAGCAGTCCAACAGCGATGTAGTCTTTTCAGGAAGTAGACGGATGTTAGGCGAGATTAGGATTTAAGATCTGTGAACTTGGTGCTGTGGGCGTTTCATGACCCAACGCTGGTCCTGTGTGGGAGAGGCTTGTAGGTTTATGTGTATGTTGCCTTAAAGGATAAGTTTGGCATTATTCTATACTTTTTTTCTAAATGTTAAAGAGCCCATATTCTGCTTTTTTTGTTTCGCCCTTTTCTTTAGTTTTTTTGTGCATGTAAAATCTACTTCAGTTATTCTCTCTGTTCCTTTAGTCGCCTTAAATGCCCCGTCTGAAGTCTTGTCCTGTTACTTATCGACATCATCATGTCACACATTTGCCTGACTGGCGGCTAGTTTGCTCCTTCAAAACACAGAAAAAGCAGCTGTCTCGCATTCTGTCCTCGCTGGAGCTGCTTCCACTCGAGCTACATTAAAGTACTTAGGTGTGACTAAACAACACTTCCTGGCTGCTGACCAATCAAGAGGGCTCCTCAGGAGGCGGGGCTTAAAGAGACAGGAGCTAAAATGAAAGCGTTTCAGACAGATGTTGAGTAGAGGCGCTGCAGAAATGTACAATATGAAAAAAACTGTGTTTTTGAACATTAAAGCGTGTGACCGTATTCTAGTAGGTCCACAAAAATTAAAAAGTAAAAACCTGTAAATGTGCAAAATATGGGCTCTTTAACGAATCCCATGAAAAGACCAGATTCAATAATGTGTCCGTCTCAGTATTTTACTGTAATTTTTAACAAAAGTTACTCAAAAAGTGGAGAATTTGTTACAGACTATTGTCAGCTGTGGGTCAAAGCTGCTCTCATGAGTACTTGTGACAGCAGGAAACTAAAATAAGTGTGTTTCTGGTTTACTAACAGCTCTGTGGATCTACGCACACACGACTAGTCAGGATCAATTAGTGGCTCGTTTCTGTCTTTTCATGGGATTTCTTTCTATTAGGAAACCTGCAGTCAAGCAATGTAATCAAAGGGATTGTCGAAACTAGTGTTTTTGCAGTATTTTTTATTTACTTTCATATCGCTGTGCCATTTGTGAGTCATAAAGGTGTTGCTAGAAAGTTCAGGAGATTTATTTCAGTTTTTGCATACACGACACTAATCCTCCTTTTTGTGCCACATTTTATATAAAATACTGTCTGACAGCATTTAAGTAACCCGAGTTCATGTGATTCTTCCAGGTGACAGAACGGTTCGGTTGCATGACTTTATGTGTTTTAGAAGCCGCGACGTCCTGCAGCGTCTCCGGCTCACAGATCCGTCTCCTGCACGTTGAACACCGATCGAACCTGTGACGGGACAGTGGAGGGTTTTAGCTCTGAGGTCGGATCATTACACGTCTCTACAAAACCAAATGCTTTTCTTTTTTTTTGTTCTAAATGCATATCAGCTGTGTGGGTGTCCAGGAGTGCTTCTAACGCTGTGCACACTGCAGTATTAACAGTTAGACAACGCCGTGATATTCCAAAAACATTTAATGTACTTTAAGTCAAGACATATATGCTGTTTTGTATCTTTTTTTTTTTTTTTTGTCATAGACTCTGCAGTTTAGTCAGTTTATGTCGATACTGGGATGCCAAGACTTCTTTTGTTTTTTTGTTTTTTTTGTAAATTCAACAGCATCCGTTGTGTAACAAAGTGTTACCGCTTGACTGTGCTCCTTTTACTTTACATTTAGTTTTATTTTATCAAAGAGCCGATGTCCTGTATTGACTGCAGGCTTACGTATATATTTGACAAAAAAAACAAAAAGAATATTGTATGTTTAATAATAAATGAATAAATAAAAAAAAAACACAAAAAAGACAAAAAATGCAGAAAAAAGTAAAGAAGAAGAAAAAAAAACCAGGAAGAGAGAGAGAGAGAAAAAAAAGTGTAATTTATATTTTAAAACAACTGCATGCACAAGGCTGGGAAAGTCATATTTAGAATAACAAATGGCAGTGCCTTTTTTGTACTCGAGACATTTACCCCAAATGTAAATGGTTTTATATGGACTTTAAAAACTGTAACGTTGCAGGAGGAAGCTAAAGACTGTCGGGTCGCGTTCACTCTGCAGCCACAAGAGTCCGAATGTAGATCATCTGATGCCCCCGTGATGCTCTCTGTGATCCAGGGATGGTTTTGGACAGTTAATTATCTAATTTGATGAACTTTCTGAATCATATTGGAGCTAAATTTGTATCACTGGCCTCACAGTCGGATGTCTTTACAAGAAAAAGACTTTTGGGGTTGATAAAAATTCAAAAAAAATGACAGTTTGATTGAGTTTGTGTTCCTCACTCTGATCATTTAGCTCATGTTCCGGTCAATTGATAACAAATTCAGTACAAACAAGTTTCCAAATCAGCTCGAGGGTAACAAACTTCCCAAAGAAAAGAGGACGTGAGCACTGATCAGTTCACAGACTTTCATGCGTCTCCATCAGAGTCCGTCTGTATTCTGGTCACAAACACTTCCTGTAGCTGATGATTGTTTCTGTCATCAGCTCATTTGCTAATTGTTTTCTTTCTTAACTAATTGATCCTTCGGCCTTTAAAAGGTCAGAAAATGTCAATCAGAGCTTCCCAGAGCACTTATTGATCAACTGGTGCTTTAAATTTACAGATTTTTCAACCAACAGTGGAAAACGTAGAAGATTTCTGGTCATGTAATTGACTACAGCCTCCGCTCTGCACTCGCTCTCAGACCAGAGGCATTAAAAAGTGACATGCAGCTGATTTGATGCTTGTCGTGGCTCCACCTATAGGACGATGGGTCCCTCTTCTAGGGATGCAATGATCCCACATACATTCATAGAGAACCAGCAAACTGCTTTTAAATGATTCATAAACATGACAAATTCAGTGATTCCTGCTTCATTCAGAGTCACATTGAGCCACTAACAGCAGCCAGTTCATTCATCAGTGTCGCTGCTTTCTGCTCTGCTCAGATTTTCAATTCGTTCAACCACACTGACTCATATTTAGCTAAAATCCGGTTGGTCACATTTCTTTCCGAGCTAACAGCCAAGTTCAGGAGTTTTTGGGATTTTTGTTAAACGCAGCTTCACGTCACAAACTGCTTCAAAGGACACGCGTGGACCTGGAGGCTGCAGCGTGAGCGTGAACCCGGCCGTTAGCTTCTGCACTCTGTAGGTACTTCTTAATGCTGATATGAAGTTATAATTGTTCTGGTCTGTATAAAAACAGATGTGTGTGTGTGAATGGCTGTGTGACGGTGAGGATGAGCGTGTGTGTGTGTGTGTGTATATGTGTGTGTGTGAATACATCCATTTTTTTTTCAAACGTGTCTTGCTGTACTTTTGTCGCGACGTACCAGAATGCTGTGACTTGGCATGCCCCCGTTATACATAAAAAGACAAAAAACTAAACGCTCAAAGGGCTCCAGTGTGTTTGTGTCTGATTCCGTCTCTGGGTTTGGAAAAAAAAAGGTTTTTATTTTGATTTCAAACTAAAATGTTGCTTCTAAATTCAGAAGTTTTTTTTCAGTTTAACATCAGAGGAAACAGTAATATGTGTCACAACTTTCACAATTCAACAAATATCTATTTCATCAAGTTGTCTTGTTTACATTATTCCACGTGTATTTTATAGTCAATGATGACCTGTTCATGGGTGTTACAGGTGTGAACTACTGCAGCGGTAAAAACTGATTTCTAACAATCTTCTACATTATAGTGTGTTTATTAAACTGGTTACAAACGCTGAACAGGGGAACCCAAGTGTTGCTTTTGTTATTATTCAGGTTTATAGGTATTCATTTTTATTTCAAAAAGACCTACGTATCCATCCATCATCTATACACCACTTAATCCTCACTAGGGTCATGGGGGGCTGCAGTCTATCCCAGCTGACTCAGGGTGAAGGCAGGGGACACCCTGGACAGGTAACCAGTCTATCACAGGGCTACACTTAGAGACAGACAACCAAGCACACTCACATTCACACCTACAGACAATTTAGAATCACCAGTTAGCCTCAACATGTTTTTGGACTGTGTGGGAGGAAGCCGGAGAACCCGGAGAGAACCCACGCTGCACGGGGAGAACATTCAAACTCAGAAGCAGAAAGATTCCAGTGCCCCCACCGGGATGCGAACCGGCGACCTTCTTGCTGCAAGGCAACAGTGCTACCAACTGCCACCCTGCAGCCCGACCTACGTATGGATTTTTAAAAAAATAAACCAGACTAATAAGAATACATTTGGTTTATAAATTTCTTAAATAACACTTTAACTTCAGGACGACACTGATATTACTTCAAATTAAAACGACTTAATGCTGCTTAGACACTGATGCACCAGTATTAACTATTATAAAACAATTAAAATATTGAAAAATCCTCAGTCACGGGACATTTTACTTCAGAGTGAGTACATTTACGAGTGTTATTTTAGGACATTTTGATGGTATTACAATTAAATGAATTTGAATTGATTTTTTATTGCAGTATTTTTACTTTATTTGCAGTAAGTAAAGGATCTGAGTGACATTTTCACACATAAACAACAGCAGGCTGCATACAATTCAGAGTCAAGTGTTGTAGCTTTAAAAAAAAAAAAAAAAAAAGTATTCAAGGTGCAGTTTTACTGATTTCTAAACTTTTAAGACTTAAAGCCTGCAAACAAACTGGTGCAAAAAAAGAAGAAAAATCAAAGTTCATCAGCGTGAAGAGAAGATTCTAAATTAAAGTAACGTTTTAATTAAAAAATGACTGAAACTTGTGTCATTTCTGCTCTGATATACACTCAGATGTCCATTAAAAAAACGTTTCTTTGTCTGCACATTTACGAACTTGAACTCCTGTGTTTATTTCTAAACATAATCTTACAAAGTCTGAATCTTTCTGACTCTCATTTGAGCCCTCACACTTCAACTTTTTTGCACTTTTTCATAAAACTCTATAGAAGATTTTCAAGTTTTGGGCTCCTGTCTGTGTTCATGTTTCCACTGGAGGGCGCCAGAGTTGGAAAGTTTTGAATTCAGCACACAAAGCTGTAAGTACGCTTTGAATTGTGTTGGTGCTGCAACGTTTGTCTTGATTCCAGCGACAGTTTATCCGTCTGAAGCTGTGATTTGTAACGTTTCATCAGTCATGAAGCTGTTTCACCTCATCAAACATGAGTACAGATGTTTTACTGGCAAAGTTCCAACAGAATTCAACAAAGTAGAGTTGAGACTTCTGAAGGCCTTTTCAACACACATGTAGCTAACAATGTGAATAATTAATAACACTTGATTTATGCTCATACTGGTGATGAAAACCCAGAAGTGGCAATAAGACCTGGAGTCATGATCTAACAGCACATCATGATAACAATAGTACAAATATTGGCCTGGACTCAAATAAACATCAGAAAATAGATGAGTGGACAAGTTTGTTTGCTGAAGTCAACGCTCTCCACTGTCACATCAATCCCACTTTCACTAAAATCACTGCTTACAGGAGGCCAGATGTGTCAAACTCATGTAAAGGAATTATGCAAAATAATCTAACTCAGTGTCTTCAGTACTCTAGAAGACCTGCAGGCGCTTCAGTGTTGAAGTTCGACCACCGGCAGCATCAGTTTAAGCCTTTGTTTGAGCTGCTTCTTCAACTCTGCACACAAAGAAGCAGGTTCGGTGTAAATTGAATGCACAGATGTGACGTTATGAAGTCGATGTAAAGCTGCTGAGTCATTCTCCTGTCAGACATCCAACCCGCTGCAGCTCCACCTCTCTGCTGTTCATTCTGGGCCAAACCGACCCTGTAGGAGGCCTCGCCATCTTGTACTTTTTAGATAAACCAGACCAGAGTTATGAGCTTGTAAAGACTGTTGACCAGCAGGTACCAAGGTTTCCACTTTAAACATCTCTGTAGCCGTAAATGCAAACAGGACGGCAGAATTAGAAAAATTCAGAAGAACACCCTCAGCTTTGAATCAAAAGTTTTCACATCCACTCGTGATGGTTTTTGATTTGTGCTTCATGACGGATAAAAAAAAAAACACCTTCTGGGTAAAGTTTTGGCATTTCACTTCACCGGACTGGTCAGCTGCTTCCTCCATCGTCTTCACCTCC